TTGGCCTCTCGATTCGGTCGGCAAGTCTAGCGAATTACAAAAAAACAAAAAAAAACAAAAAAAACAAAATCCCCCCCTCCCCCCACGCATCCAAGTTGGGGAAGAGAGCCCCAAGGTGGGGTGGAGAGCTCTAGGCCAGCTTCAAGCCACGGGCTGCGCGACCCCCATCCTCCAGGATGGGGTCGTGAGCTTCGGGACGTGGTCATGAGCTCCACGACAATGAGGACGATCGAGGATCGACGACGACGATCGACGATCGAATAACCTGTGAGCTTACAAGAAATGGGAACAATCGCCTCAAAATCTGCTCACATATTGCCCACACCGATTGGCCACACCGACTAGCTTGGCCAAGCTGAAGCCCACCGATTGGCCACGTAGGCGCTGCCAAAAAAAGCAGGTAGCGGCGGTGGCTCGCCGTAGGCGTATTCGATAATGCGAAAGCCACGGCGAGAATGATTGTTAAGTCTTTGCGATCGTTGTACGCTGACGCACACAAATATATAGCACTTACAGTAATGGTTACCTACTGCATCGCGACTGCGACGCAGAACAACGGAGCGGATCACGACTGTGACGAGCAACCACAATGACGCCCTTCCCTCCTCCGTCCTCCGACCTCCTCCCACCTCCCTCCCCCTACCGCCAACCTCCTCCTACCTTCTCCTACCTCATCCTATCTTCTCATACCCACCTCTCGTCCTCCATCTTTGCCTCCCCTCCTCCCTCCATGCATCCCTCCCTCCTGCCATGCCGCCTCCCTATGCATCGCCTCCTTCCTCAACGCATCCCTCCCTTACTGGAGGTATCGAGGAGCACGGAGAAGGAGGACGAGGGAAATAAGAACGATGGCCAGGAGCACGAGGGAGGGGTGGCGTAGAGGGAGGATGAGGACCCTCCCCCCTGCCTCCCCGAGGCCACGGGTGGTGTACCAGTGGGCCACGGGTGCACCCGAGAAGCGACTTCGAGTGAACCAGGGGCACGTCACTAATCGACGTGCAAAAAATGCTGAATGTATCCGGCAAAACAGACGTCGATTAGCGAAACCGACGAAGGAGTGCACCGGTGCACTCCGAAAGCGGTGGCAGAGTGTACCGGTGAACTCGGAACCCGGTTCCGAGTGCACTGGTGCGCTCTGCCACCGGTGACGGGTGCACCAGTGGAATCGGATGTCGCCCGATGGGCCGGTGGTGCCATTGACGCCCCGAGCCTGCGGCGGTGGTGCCAAGTCCTCAAACAACCTCGACGCTCCCAAATGGGCGAAAGCCCAGTGAGAATCATAAGCACCACCGTCGGCACGACCATTGGGGCCCCAAGAGGAGCCCCGAGAGAAGCTCAAGATGGCCCCAAGAGGGCCCCAAGACGCCTCTGTGATCATGGTGCCCTCTTGGGGCCCTCTGGGGGTCCTCTCGGGACTCCCCGATAGGGCTCCAAGACGGCCCATGAGGCCCTAAGAGTGCCCATGGGGGGCGGCCTGAGAGGAGCCCCGAGAGGGGCCTAAGATTGCCCCAAGAGGGCCCCAAGACGCCTCCATGATCATGGAGCCTTCATGGGGCCCTCTGGGGGACCCTCTCGGGACTCCCCGATAAGGCTCCAAGAGGGCACACGAGGCCTCGAGTGCAGAAGGGGCCCTCCCTTCTAAGGCGCGCGTCTCCTCCCTCCCTCCTCTCTCCTCCCTCTGCAGCCCCCAGGGGCTTTCGCGCCCCTTCAAGACGGGCGGGTGGCGGGGCCGATGGGTCGCAGGCGGGTCGCGAAGCGGGCGTCGCAGGCGCCGCGCCCATCCGCCCGCGCCCTAACTCTTATCCGCAGTTGCAGGGTGCTACGTATTCCTGGCGACTGCTTCTCCCCAGCCCGAGCTCCACACCACTGCTTGGGGCACTACCGCCTCTCAGGGACTTCCCAATCGCCGCGAGCACTCAAGATGATGGCAACTCCGACGCAAGAAAGGTTGGCCGAGTGCGCGAGGCGGTTGGATATTGGCAGGGACACAAGTTTAGCGGGCCAAACGACACAATGAGCCAGCCAACGCGGACTGGGCGACAACTGAAACACCCAGAAATCCCATGGGCGACATTACCGATTGCCACAAGCGCTACTGGCTGGCGAATGTACTCACGATCTGCTCACATAGGCAACTGCTCGAAGTTCCCCCGAAACGCATCGCCGACGGCCCCTGTGGCAGCGGGCCTCCAGACCCCGCTCAATCAAGGCAAAAGGGTCGTAGTAAGGGAAGGAACCGTGCGAAACTAGGGCGCCCGTGTGTTTCAATGCCGTACACTGAACGTGCCAGATCGGCGATGCGATGGGGGGGGGGGGGTAGTAACAGGGCGAAGGAGGAGACATATGATAACCACAATTGTAGACTTACGCCATTCACTAACGAACGCTAGACCTATTGGCGCGCGATGCGCGTCGTGAGTAGCACAGTTGACATGCGTAACCCTCTTCAACGGGTAGTTCGTATTGTGCGCATGAGAATGCGATTGCCTGATGGGCCCCCCTATTCTGGCCACAGCCCTTTCCACATCTTACTACAAGTTGCTTGCGCGCCCCCTTGCCTCTGCGCCAGGCGGGACGAGCGCGGGCCTGCGTTCCACTTGCAAGAGATGTCCTAGCAACTGCAACGTCCATGTTTTGAATTTGATTTATTGCGCGTTTGCGCGCGACGCCTCGACGACCGCTGCAACCAGTACGACGCCAACGCACACGAGGCGCGACGGTGCGAGCCCGTGCAAGTTTGAAAAAAATAAATCAAGGTCCCAGGACAATTCCTCAATCGACTTGTCTGGGTGGGAGGTCTGTCCGGGCCCGAGCGCCTGGGGGGGCAGCGTGGACCTGGCCGCCCCGCCCAGCTCTCGAACCCAGGAGCCAGGGGGCGCGTCTGCGGGGGCGTCTGCGGTCGCGCAGAGGGGGGCGCAGGCCTCGACGATTCCGACTGCGCCGGCGAGGGCGATGGCGTCGGCGGCCCCGGCAGCGGCGGCGCGGGCGCGGGCGTCGACGCACTCGATGGCGCCGACGAGCGCGCCGGCTTCAGCGACCCAGGCTGCGCAGACGGGGGCGCTGGCACCGATGCGATCGGCAGCGCTCGCGGGGTCGGTGGCGCCGGCGATCCAGACGGCGCCAGCGAGGGCGCTGGCGCCGATGCTCTCCGCGGCGCCAGCGAGAGCGGCGGCGCCGGCGACTCGGCCCAGAGGAAAGAAGCTGGAGTCGCTCTGCGTCGCTGGGGCCGCGGAGAGCGCGAGGGGGGGGCGGGGCATCAGCGGCGGAGACTGCAGGCTTGAGCAGGCCGCGCCTGCTGGGAGGGGGCCGCAGAGAGATCGCCCCACCCCGTGCGAGACGGCCCCCGAAGCAACGGAGAGCGACCGCCCATGCAGCTCCAGCCCCATCGTAGCAACGCTGGCGATCCCTCTTCCTGCGCGGGGCGGCAACGCAGCAGGCGAATAGGCCCCTGCCATGAGGGTGATGGCAGAGGTTGGCATGCGGGGGGCCCAGGAACGCTCCTGGGAGCGTTGGCGAATATAGGCGCGTGCCTCGAAGATGATGGTGATGTCGATGCAGGCTGTGATGGCGAGGATGCTGGCGTCGATGGTCTCAGCTGCGCTGGCGACAGCGCCATCGGCGATTCGGGCTGTGCTGACGAGTACGCTGGCACCGAAGCTCCGGGCTGCGCTGGTGAGGATGGTGGCGCCGGAGATCCAAGCTGTGCTGACGAGGATGCTGGCAGCGCCTTCGGCTGCGCCAGCGAGGAAAATGGCGCTGGTGATCGAAGTTGTGTCGACGACGATGTTGGCGTCGATGCTCCCGGCAGGATCAAAACCCCGACCTCCAGGTCATCCTGGAACACAGAGAAAATGTCCTCGATCCTGTCCGTGGAAAAAGCGGAAATGCGCAACAGCCCGTCACCCTCGCCCCCTGTGTCCACGAAGGCGCCGAGTCCCGCACGGAGAACTCGGCCCCCCTAGAACTCCTGGCCGACCTCGGGCGACTTGAACGGGACTGCCGAGCCCGCAGGAGGGTGCCCAGCCCGCTGGGGCGCCGATTCCGCGGACACGTCGCCCAAACTCGGCGCCCGCGACGCGGGCGACAGCCACGGCACCAGCGGGGCCCACGGCACAAGCGGCGCCGGCCGCGCCAGCAGCACCCTCGACGCGCGACGCCCCAACGGCGCCCACAGCGGCGCCCACAGCGGTGCCCGCGGCGCCAGCGGCAGCGCAGGCCGCCGCGGCGGCCGCGGCCGCGGCCGCAACGCCAGCGGCGGCGGCGGCGGCGGCAGGCGACAAAGCCGCGGCACGCGCCGCGGCGGCGGCGGCGGCGACGGCCTCGGCAGCTGCGGAAGCCGCGGCCGCCGCGGCGGTGGGGCTGGCGAGGGGCGCCCAGGCCCGCCCGGCGGCAGGCGGCATGCCAGGAGGGGCCGCGGCGCCGGCGGCACGGCGGATGGCAGCGCGCCGCCGCCGCGGCCGCCGCGCCGCGGTGGTCTCCATCCCCGCCGGGCCGGAGCGCGCGCCTGAGCCAGAGGCGTGCTCGAGCCCAAACGGCTTGAGCCAGAGGCTACCCATACAACACACACACACACTTACTTTTCGGCGGACGCCGCCTCGCGCGCAGCGACGAGGCGGAGCAGGTCGAGCAGTCGGTGGCATGCGAGCGTACGTGGCCATGCCCTCAAACGTAAGACCACTTCGGATCGACCGCACATAGCCACCCGGGGCAAGGTTGGGAGTGAGAAGATTGAGACAGCGTCCGAAGATGGAAATGGCGGTGGGAAGCGAACCAGGCTGACACCCCAGAAAGGACACCGATCTCGATACACACAGACACACACACACACCGCAAGGTGGTGTGGATGATCAACGTAAGTACGACACATATCTGGAGCGTGCGTGGTGGGTATGATGTTTGCAATGGTTGCTGTGGAAGTGTATGGCTGCCGTGGTGGTTGTAGACAAGGTCATGGACAAGACTTGAGGCCAAACGACCCAAGTACACCTACCCCTCGGGGCCTCTTTCACTCTGAACTTGGTCTCCTTCCAACTCTGCAGCAAGCTCTTCTCGTCAGCTCCAGCCAATCCCTTGGGCGGAAGGAATCAAGCGAAGGGAGAAGAGGAGGGAGGAAAGAGAGACGATGGAAGAGGGAAAGAGAGAGAGAGAAACTGAAAGACTGGTACAGGATGGGTAAAGCTGATAAGGGGAAGGATGAGACGGGGAGGGGAGATGGGAGGAAGCATGGAAACCTTAGAAGATCAAACCCACCCCACTCTGTCATGGACACCCCTCTGCTCTGCTGGCCAAAGGTCCGTCGAGGAAGATCGAACGCACGATCTCGCAGAAGCTGCATCCTCACGCACTGGCGCCGTCGCCCGTGTCCAGTACGTGGGCTCTGTCAGAGCACGAACCTCGGATCGCGAATCGACTGGCAGTCAACCCAAGTGGGAAAGGGATGCGCAGGGAGAGGCGGATAAGGGGAAGAGTATACACACGCCATGCAGCCTACTGCAAGATAGTACCGCCAGCCATTGCAAGCATGAGCATGGCTCAGAAAACGGAGGGCGGAAGAACGGAGGGGAAGGAACCGGGAAGAGCAAAACAATGACAGAGAGAGGACGAGGTGGGAGGCAGTGAGATCCATGGAAAGGATATCAGGGGGGCAGACGAGAGACGGGCGCCGAAATCGTGCGCGCCCCGCCAGGGAGCCCGCCAGTGCCGATCCCGGGACGGCGTGGAGGCCGTAGCCCCATTCTAGTGTGCCAGTTGAAGGTGCGGATGAGGATCTGTTACATCGAGGGGGCAGCTGCCGACGTACACATACGAGACTGGCGAGTCCTGGTAGGGAAAAAAGCAGGTCAGGCACGGATGAGGAGAATCAGGAGGAGGACGAGGAGGACGAGGAGGAGGAGGAGGAGGAAACGGAGGAAAGGAAAAGGAGGAGGAGGAAGAGGAGGAGGAAGAGTACCAGGATGACGACGGGGGGGCGGAGGAGCAGGGCGACGAATCTGTCGCCAACGCCTGTGGCTCCGCCAGCGTCGCAGCGCTCCGGAGCATGCCCGCCAACTTGCCGAAGGACTCGCGGCGGACCTCGCTGGGCACCGCGGCTGGGGGATGAGACGGAGGGGAGGAGGTGAGGAGCCAGAGGGCGATGTTGAGGCGAAGCAGCAGCAGTGACAGTGGCATCGGCAGCAGGGGCAGGAGCAGGAGCTGGAGATGGATGGAGGCGGCGGGGGAGGAGGGGCAGAAGGGAAGGCAGAGGATGACGGAGTGCTTCCTCACGAAGCTGCCCTGGAGTTTCCCAAGCACCAGAGCCCTCTTGCTCTCTTGCTCTCTTGCTATGTTGAGCCTATGTTGTTATGTGTATCTCCCTCTCTCGTTCTCTCTGTGTATGTGTATATCTATATGTGTGTTACACAGAAATACAGCTACATACATAGATAACTATATATATATATGTATGTATACACCCACCTGTAAATACATTCATACATACATACATACATACACACATCCATACCCATACATACATAAACATGTCCGCAAGTACACGCATACACGCATGCACATATAAATGCGCATACGCATGTGTACATAAACATTTATGTATACCTGCACACATTCACACATGCATACATACACAGATACATTACATTACATGATGTTACCTTCCATTCCATTACATTCCATTCCGTTACATTCCATTCCATTACATTACATACGCACATACCTACATACATCCGCACATACACACAGACACAAATACATGCAAACCTACATGCATACATGCATACACACATACACACATACATGCAAACCTACAAACCTACATGCATACATACATACATACATGCATACATACACACACATACATACATACATACATACATACATACATACATACATACATACATGCATACATACATACATACATACATACATGCATACAAACATACATACATACATACATGCATACAAACATACATACAAACATACATACATACATACGTACACACATACATACATACATACATACGTACACACATACAAACATACATACACACACGGACATACATACATACATACATACATACATACATACATACATACATACATACATACATCCACACAAACAAACGAACGAACAAGCAAGCAAACATACATACATACATATATGTACGTATGTGTCTATCAGGCTACGCATACACTTTGTTCGGCGCGTCCTCCACACACGAAGAGCCCGAGCGGTGTGACGCCGCATTCGGGTCCTGGACTGGGAGCGACGGGGAGGGGAGGGAGCCCTGGCCAGGGCCACCAGGCATCCCCCTCCTCCCCCTCAGCCTGTCCCCGACCCCATCCCCCTGAGTAGACAAGCGCGTTCCACTACTCGCAAAGTAACTACTCGAAAATGGCATGGATCCGCCGCGGCGGATTCACGGTCCATTACATAGAGGAAGACATGTACCGTTCGGCTGCGAGTGAGCACTTTGCAAGTAGTGGAGCGCGCTCGAAAACTCC